CAAGGTGGCACGCTCCTGCAGTCCCAGCTACTTGGGAGGCTCAGGTGGGAGGATCAATTGGGCCTGGGAGGTCAAAGCTACAGTGAACCGAGATCATACCACTGTACTCCTGGGTGACTGAGGAAGACCCTGTCTCAACAACAATGACAAAATAGATTCATGCACGCCAACAGATAGATAATTCCATGGGGGGCCCCCGGAAACCTGTAGCAGTCACATATTTCTCCAGATGAATCCTATTATCAATGATTAGCAGCAAAAGGATGAGATGAGGGCCCAGCTCTCAGGTGTGGAGAACTGCTCAGCAGTTTCCCATCAGGTTAAACATTCACTTACCAAAACCTAGCCATGCCCACGCTTGAGTATTTCCAATACAAATAAGTGCTTATGGCCAGGGACGGTGGCTCATGCCTGTAATCCCAGCACTTTGGGAGGCCAAGGAGGGTGGATCATGAGGTCGGGAGATCAAGACCACCCTGGCCAACATGGTGAAACCCTGTTTCTACTAAACAAACAAAAAAAAATGTATATAGGGCCGGGCGTGGTGCCTCACGCCTGTAATCCCAGCACTTTGGGAGGCCGAGGCGGGTGGATCACGAGGTCAAGAGATCGAGACCATCCTGGTCAACATGGTGAAACCCCGTCTCTACTAAAAATACAAAAAATTAGCTGGGCATGGTGGCGCATGCCTGTAATCCCTGCTACTCAGGAGGCTGAGGCAGGAGAATTGCCTGAACCCACAAGGCGGAGGTTGTGGTGAGCCGAGATCATGCCATTGCACTCCAGCCTGGGTAACAAGAGTGAAACTCCATTTCAAAAAAAAAAAAAAAGTATATATACAAAAATTAGCTGGGCATGGTGGCACGTGCTTGTAGTCCCAGCTACTTGGGAGGCTGAGACAGGAGAATCACTTGAGCCAGGGAGTCGGAGGTTCCGGTGAGCCAAGATTGCACCATTGCACTCCAACCTGGGCTAGAGCGAGACTCCGTCTCAAAAAAAGAAAAAGAAATAAATGCTTATGTGCACCAAAGACAAGCATGAAGATACTCATAGCTTTATTCATAATGTTCCCTGAACTGAAAACATCCCGAATGTCTATCCATGGGAACATGCACAGATAAATTGTAGTATTTCCAGGCAAGGGACTACCAGGCCACAATGAAAAAGAATGAAGTACTGATACATACAGTAGCGGTGTGGATTGATGAATTTCACAGACATACTGCTGAATGAGAAGAGCCAGGCATGCTTGTATCGAATTCCACTCATCCATGGTGATGGAGATCAAAATAGTGGTTACTTCTGGATATGTGTGTATAAATTCTGCTCCCTAACAAGATACAGGGAAAACTTCCCGGGATGGCAGTCAGTGCCACAAAGCAGGACTTACCTGCATTAGAGGCTCACCTGAAAGGCCTTTTCTTGCTTGTTTGGTCATTTGTTTATTTGAGATAAACACTATACATTGAGGTGTACACAATGCAGTGAAAAAGAGTACAGCCCAATGAATGTTTACATGTTTACACTTAGTGTTGAACTTCATGCAAAGTGTCAAGGCCCCTGGAAAGGGAAACCAAGGTTATAAGACCCTGTCGGTATGGATTTCATAATCTGGTGAAGGAGATATTAACAATATAAAGCGGAACGATGGCTTTTCATCCATTCACCCATGGGGTGATTTTGAGCCCTGGCTCTATGCCAGGCACTGAACTAGACATGGGAAATGGAGTAGCAACCAAGATCCCACCTTACCCTGAGGATTTTGGAGAGGAGCACGATTAACTGATTCTATCTCCTAAGAGTTTTCCAAATTCGATCCCTTGCCTCCCACCGACCCTAACTTAGGCTACTACCCTCTTTCCTCTGAGAGCTTTCTCAGTCCTCGCCTCTGATTCATTCTCCATATCAGCAGCCCCTACCTAAGTGCTCAGCCGAAAAAAATTCAAAATTGATGATTGCCCCTGGCTGAGGCAGCTCTGGTGCTGGCCTGGGAGGCTCAAGTCTTCACCTGTAGGGTCTATTATTGTGACCGCAGGGAAGTTCCTGATATGTCCTGAGCCTCGTTTGTGTCTTCTGTAAAATGGAGATGAAACAGTATTAACAACAACTGCACCTGTCTCCCTGAAGAGGCTGGGTTTGCACTATCCACACTCCTCCTCCCAGTGCCTCTCAGTGCTGGTCACTCCCACCTCTCTGCATTACCCAGTGATAGAAAGCTGCTTCTGTTCATGAACACATTCTTTGGTTTCAAGACCTGAGACTATAATTGGTGACCTCGTTTGACAAGTCTTTCCCGCCACCTTCTCTGGCTCGGTCTTACTCAGCTCCAGATACAGCCTAGGCATTGCCTCCTCCAGGAGCCTTTCCTGAAGCTGCCTACAGGGCTGGGTGCCCCTGTGTGGGACCCCACAACACCCCAGACTGAATCTGTCTGTCTACTGTTTCTGTTTGTCTCCCCTTGCTTGAGAGTGGGCTCCTGCCAGGTGGGCAGCCTCTGAATCTCTGAATGAAACTCTTCTTTGCACCCCCACTGTGGACCCCTCCAGTCCAGGGCAGGTGCTGGATGCGTCTACTAACCTGAGCAGAACATGCTCAGCATTTTAAGGGAGGTGGCCTTGAGTCATGGGTAGGACATCAGAAAATTATCTTAAAACAAATTGTACATGCACACAATACTCAATTCAGCAGAAACAAAAGGGGTTGCAATGAAAATTAAAAGTAGGGCACCTCCCAACCACCAAGCACCCCTCCCCAGAGGCCACCTTTCATATCAGTTTCTGAGTATTCAATGCAGGCCAGAATTGTCAGTCCTCCCTCCCATTTTTATTTTGCAAAAATTTAAAGCAACAGAAAAGTTGCAAGAATACCAATTAACATTTTACCACAGTATGCTAATTTACAAGTGTTATATCACTTAATGTTCACATTAATTAATGCCAATTTTGTAAATGAGGTCACTGAGGCACCCGGCAGGTTAAGGGAGTTGCCCGAGGCCACAGAGCTCCTGCCTTGGAGCTGGGCTTTCCCCCTTAGGCTACTGAGGAACTTTGATTTGCCTTCCCACAGCTCCCTTTGGAGGAAAAGCATTTACTTACACTGAGTTGAAATCCACCTTCCTGGGATATTTACTACATGATCAGTGGAAAAGTACACAGCTCTGGAAGCATTTGCTACTTCTCCTCCCCAAACCTCCCCATTCCCTGAGCAACGGCTGCTGTGGCTGCCACTACCACATGCTCCAATGTCACCTCCTTCGTGAAGGCTGGGTTTGCTCACTCCCCAGTTTAAAGACTCACCATGACTCTCAGCTGCCAGTGGGATGACATGTGCACACCGGGGCTTGGAATACAAGGCCTGGGTGACCGAGCTCTCCTCCAATCCCTCTTGCGCCTTCTTCCCCTGTCTCCACCTCTAGCCACACTCAACCTCCCACTGTCCACTTAAACGTCCCCTCCTCCTTGAAGCCAACCTACGTTTTCTTTTTCTTTTTTTCTTTTTTTTTTGAGACGGAGTTTTACTTTTGTTACCCAGGCTGGAGTGCTATGGCACGATCTCGGCTCACCGCAACCTCCGCCTCCTGGGTTCAGGCAATTCTCCTGCCTCAGCCTCCTGAGTAGCGGGGATTACAGGCACGCGCCACCATGCCCAGCTAATTTTTTGTATTTTTAGTAGAGACGGGGTTTCACCATGTTGACCAGGATGTTCTCGATCTCTTGACCTCGTGATCCACCCGCCTCGGCCTCCCAAAGTGCTGGGATTACAGGCTTGAGCCACCGCGCCCGGCCTCCAACCTATGTTTTCTAAAGAGCGCATCTCTCCCCTCTCTGGGCTCCTGCAACCTTCAGCCTGAGTCTTTGACAGCCTTCTCCAGGTTTGGCCAGGAAGCTGGACAGTGAAGGACGGGAGTGACAGCTCTGCCCCTTCCTAGCAGAGTGATCCTGCACAAATTACTCCAGGTGTCTGACCCTTCATTTCCTCAACCACATCACGGGGGAAAGAATGCCTAGCTCTAGCTCAGTACCTGGCAGAGAGTCAGCCTTGGCTAATCTCCCATAATGGAGCTGACAGCTCTTTTTGAGTCCGCTGACGTCTTCTCTTAGTCATCTCTTGAAACACTACCCGTTATTACTTCTCTGCTCCTCAGTCTCCTCCTGTGTACAATGGGGATGAGAATGGAGAGGTTGTGAAACTTTAATGAGCGAGCCCTTGGAGCAGTATCCAGCCCTTCCCGACGCTAAAATGACTCCTACGAGAGGGCCTGGTACTCAGTAGGTGCTAAACTAATCCTCTCCGAGCTGGGCTTGGAGAAGATGCCTCCGTCGGATGTGCACCGTGGGCGCGGGAAGGCGAGCCTGGGAGCGAGGGGCTTGCCAAGAGCCAGCCAGAGGTCGGCTCCGCCTTCCCCCGCCGCCCCCACCCGAGCCCTGCAGCTGTCAGCCCGGCTGGCCTCGGCGCCAGTCCACCAAACCTGAACGTCCCAAGCCGGCGCCCCCACCTTCCCGGAGTGCACAACTTACCTTGCGCTCCGCGGCCCTCTGTCCCGCCCGCAACTTCCATTGGCCCAGGGGTTTCTTTGTTAGCACGAGTGCGCTGCCGCCATTGGTCGGTAGAGCTGCCAATCGCGTCGGGCACGGCCCCTCCCCATACGCCCCGGCACCTCCCCGCGCCCGCCCTCCCGCCCGCCCCGCCCGGAGTGCGTGAGGCGCTCCGCTCCCATTTGCAGCGGCCGCGGGGCGCCGAGGGCAGCGGCGGCGGCGCGGAGTAGCCGGGCCGGCGGCGACCGGCGCCTGAGAGGCGGGCCGCAGCGGGAGGCAGCGGGCCCGAGGCCGCGTCCATGGGCCCGCGGCGGCCGGGCGGCGGCGGTGCGGGCGGGCGCGGGGCGTCGCGCGCGCTGTGAGGCCCGGGCGGCGTAGGAGCCTCGGCGCTTGCAGCGAGCCGCCGGCCGGGTAGGAGGCCGGGCGGGACTTGCGGCGGGGCCAGCGAGGGATGCGGCGGCGGCCGCGCTGAGCCCCGAGCCCGCCGGGAGCGCCAGGCCGGCCGGGCCTGCGCCGCCGCCGCCGCCGCCGCCGCGCCGACCATGTCGGCGGCCAAGGAGAACCCGTGCAGGAAATTCCAGGCCAACATCTTCAACAAGAGCAAGTGTCAGAACTGCTTCAAGCCCCGCGAGTCGCATCTGCTCAATGATGAGGACCTGACGCAGGTGAGTGGCCGGGGCCGGCCCGACATCTCTGTCCGGGGAGTCGCGAGCAGGCGCGGCCCAGGCCCGGGCGGGCCGGGGGCGGGGGCGCCGCCGAGGACTGCGGGGAAAATAAAAATGGAGCAGGGAAATGCGCGAGTCTTGGGGCATGGGGATGGGGACGGGAAGTGCATTGACAGAGCCTAGACAAAGGAAGAATCCTCCAGTATGCCGAAAAATAACATCCTCTCCTGTTCCCATTGCCCGACTGTGTGTGATTGATGCTTTTTGGGTGACTCAAAAGTGACTGGTTTCGCTTAGTGGAAACAAAGCGCTTGGGGATTGGATGCCGTTTGACGGGACCCCCCCCCCCCCCGAGTCTTGCTTGGGACGGGACTTGGACTTGTCCAGCCAGAGTGGCCCCAGGGGACTTTGGGCTTCCGTGTAGTGGGACCCAGCCTGCCCCGATTCGGAATCATCATCACCGTCAAGAACTGGATAGAGGCGAAGGGTGTCCGAGTCTGGCGAGGAGGCTCTTGCTCTTGAACTTAGGCTGGGAGGCTGTAGTTGAGGGGAGAGCTGGGACCAGTTCCCTGGTCACTGGCCGAGGGGTGAAGAGACCTGGGAGTTCTCGGGAAAGTTGGTTTCTGTCTCCCAGCCTTCTCTGTCAAACAGGGCTTTGAACTAGTTGTAGCTCCCAAACCTGCATTAAAGTCATAGCCATTAAACAGCGTTCTGCCACCACCCACCCCCCCCCCCCCCCGCCCGCCCTTTAGTGATTTGGGAGATGGGGAATTTGTATTGCCAAAACGCCCCAAGAGGCTTGGCTGCAATCCTCATGGCCCTCGGGAACCCCTGCAGTGATTGCTCTTTGAATTAGAGTTCCAGGATTCTGAGCCCTTGTGTGCAACTCTTTAGGATGTGCCTGGGTGCCCTCCCCACAGCCGCCTTCTCCATCCTCTTCAGAGCTTTCAGCCTCTTGAGTGAGGGCAGGGGAGCTCCCTTCACATTCCAGTCCAGTGTGACCTAGTTGTAGTCACTCCTGTCACAGAAGAACCCCTTAGACTGAAAACGTTGCTTTGAAGTGAACGTGCCTGGTTGTTTTTAATGCCACTTCAGTGCACCCAGGGTTTGACTTGTTTACATGGCCAACTGGAGTAGGGTGGTGGGGTCGGGGTTATGGCCTGGGGTGTGGGGCCTTTCTCTGAGGTCAGGTTTCCAACCGTCAGGAAAAAGATTATTTTCACCTAAACCCAAAAGCTTAAGGAAACACTGAAGGCTGCAAAGTCATAGATGGTTAAGATATCAAGGGCTTTAGGGAAGGTCTGTCTACTTGGGACGGGTAGAACTCAGTTACTCAGTTACCTCGGTGTTCTGGAGTGTAAAGGAGACCTTGACTCATCTCATTTGGATACTTTTTTGGGGGAAAACAGTTTATGTGATGAGGAGGAGTTGGGAGACTGCTTCAAGTGTTGGGAGACTTTGCTTCAAGTGTTGGGCTGTCACTTTCACCCGTGTGACCTTGAACAAATCCCTTTACCTCTATATTTTAATTTCCTTATCTGTAAATTGGGAATCCTGGTCCCTGGCTTACCTCCTTCACTGACCATTTATGAAAAGCAGGAAATGATATTTTATTATTTTTCCCTTACAGTTTAACAAACCAAAATATCCGGCCACTTTTAGAAATTTCTGGTCAAGGGTTGTTCTGACAGAGCTTTGTAAGTTTCCTGGTTATTCTAAGCAATTGTCAAAATTGGTAACTTTACACCTCATAGGGCCTGTTTGTGGATTCTTAAGCTTAGATAAACTAGAATGGAATCTGCATGTTTGAGTACAATCTGCTAAGGTTTTTTTTTTTTTTAATCTGTTGATTATTAATTGGATTTACTGGGGGAGGCAAACTTAAAATACTGTACTCTCACTGTATTCAAAGTTGAATTGTGGGTTTTGAAACAGGCTTGAGACCTTCAGGGCACAACTGGAATGGTAGTTTCTGAAATAATGAGTGGGGTTATTTGTGCTGGGTGAGATTAGCCCAGCCTTCTACCTCCTGGGATCTTTCAGGAAGAAACTGCTCTTGAAAAGAGAGGAGGGAGACTCGGCTGTTGCCAACAGCCTTCTCTGCTGCTCTCTGCATCCGGCCCTCCCCCAGCTTCTCACTCTCATCCTTATGGCTCCATTAGAAAACCTCAACCAATCGGTTCCCATCAGTCTCCCCCAAGCCCCTGCTTCCTGCCCCTCCCAGCCTTGAGCTTATTTTAGATGGTCAAAGCTGGAAGATACATCAGCCACCATTGAGGCCACCCGTGTTTAAGTGGAGAGGATACTGGGCCCAGGGAGGTGATGAGCGGCCTTGGCTGGCTTTTGCTAGGGAGATGTCATCTTCCCAGGAGCAGACATTTCTCTGAGCTTTCTGATTTGAGCTTTATTTCCTCAGCTGTGGGTTTTGTTTGTTTGTTTTTCCTCTAGAGAGGCACAGAAACCTCTTGCAGGGACTGTATTAGGGCATCAGATCTGGAAGGGACTTGGAGATCAGCTAACATAACCACTTCCTCTTACTGATGAGAAGACTGAAACCCAAAGAAGGAAAGCAACTTGCCTAGTTCAGGGATGGAGCCAGGATTCTGAAGCGAATGTTATTTTCCCTGCGTCTGTGGCCATAAACACACGATGAGGACAGTAATGTCAGGGATGGTTATGTTGCAGAGGGTGCCTTGAGAATGGTAGCTCGGAGCAGAGGAGTTCTTTGCCTTCTCCTCATGGGAATTCAGAGTGATCTGGGATAAGTGATAGGTGACCATCCTTTATTACTTGTCCCAGGCCCCTGTTCACAGAGTGTCATTTATCTTTTCAGTTTTCCTGTGCATTTCTCAGTGACATATGGACTCAAATATACAGTTAAACCTTTTTCTCCTGAACTGTGTGCATGTATTTGCGCTGTGACATATTTCTTGTTTTTTGCTTAACAGTATGTCTTGGCATTCTTTTCATGGTGTTACATATAAATATGACAGAACCATTTTGCATATTGGGCCTTTAGGAGTGTACTATAATTTAACCTATTCCCTTATTGATGGGCATCAAAGTTACTTATGGGTTTTGATGTCATGTACAGTGAATGTTTCTGCAAACAGCCTTATAAATGCTTTTGGGTATGTGTGCATGCAAGCACGAATGCAAGTATTTCTCTGGGGGCAGATACCTATAAATAGAATGGCTGGGTTGACATCAAGTGCATTACATTTTTTTTCAGATACCACGAAATTGCCTTCCAAAAAAGGCTGTGTCATAACATTTCCAGGTCTGGATATTATCAAATGATTTAATTCTCTAATAATTTTCCTAATTACTGGTGAGGTTGAGCCTCTTTTTATAGTATTTACTGTTTTTGTTTCTTTTGTGGATTGCCTGTTCGTATTGCTTGACCATTTTTCTCTGAGGTTAGTTTTTCCCCCAGTTGATTTGTAGGAGCTTTCAATAAGTGCTTTAGGTCAAGGGTCTGCAAACTTTTTTTGGTAGAAGGCCAAATAGTAAATATAATTTAGTCTCTGTGGGCTATATGGTCTCTGTGACAACTGTGCAACTTTGCCGTCTCATCACAAAGGCAGCTGTAGACAATACATTAACGAATGAGTATGGCTGTGTTCCAGTAAAACTTTATTTACCAGCAGGGCGTGGTGGCTCATGCCTGTAATCCCATCACTTAGGGAGGGTGAGGTGGGCAGATGACCTAAGGTCAGGAGTTCGAGACCAGCCTGGCCAACATGGTGAAACCCTGTCTCTACTACAAAAATTAGCCAGACTTGGTGGTACATGGCTGTAATCCCAGCTACTCGGGAGACTGAGTCACGAGAATTGCTTGAACCTGGTGGGCAGAGGTTGCAGTGAGCCAAGATTGTGCCACTGCACTGCAGCCTGGACAACAAAGTGAAAACTCTTTCTAAAAATAATAAATAAATAAATAAATAAATAAATAACGTTATTTAAAACAGGCAGCTGGTGTGATGTGGCCTGCGAGCCAGTTTGCTGACCCTGCTCTAGATGTTAGTCCGATGCTTGCCATCTATTCCAGGTATTTTTTTTCCCAGAATGTCACTTGTCTTTTATGTGTGGTCATTTTTCTTTTTCATAATATGAATGCAGTTAAGTCTGTTTTCCTTTAGTTTGTGGTTTTAATGTCATATTTAAGGCCCACTTTCCAACATTTGTAAAATAATTTCTCAGATTCTTTTATAGCTATTTTTATGCTTAGCTTTTTAATCTGTCAGACTTGTTTTTTAGGAAAATAATTCTGGCTAAAGGCAGATGATTTATTGGAGGCTGTTAAAGTAGGTGAATTACGGTAAAGTTCTCTCCAGATCAGTGCTGGTGAGGATGGAAGGAATCAAGACACTGGGAACAGGATGTTGTTGGTTTATCAGAGGTTGGTGTTGAGGAACCTGGGGTAGTTAGAAGTGTACCTTTAACAGAGATTGAGAGCAGATTTGGAGTAAATTGGGGGGATGGGGAAGGGTAAAAAATAATATGGTAAGTTTGACCTTATGGAAATAGAGGGAAGCTGGGTAGGAATTCTTGAGTCTTGGATGTGGAGGTGGTTGCTGAAATCATGGGAGTGAGTTCGAGCACTCAGGAGTCTGCAAAGAGTGAAAGGAGAGGAACCAGCCTAGGTAGCCCCCATGTAGTGGGCGGGCAGAAGGGAAGCAGATGCAGAGGCCGGGAGGTGAATCAGAGGGGTGGGCGTTAGTGGGAGAAGCAGGTCTGGAACCCAGGGCGCTCAGCTTCCACATCCATGTGGGCTCTCAGTGGGTGTTAATCTGGAGGTGCTGTCTCATTCTCCTGCTGACTGTGTAACATCAGGCATTGCCTCTGTGAAAGGAGCCACTGCCTACAAGCCCCTTTCTAGTTCTTTGTGTAGCCCTGTTTTTTTTTTTTTTTTTGTGGGACCTTGGCTGGGTCATTTTCATTGCTCAGACCTCTGTTTTCCCTTCTGGAAATGAGCTTAGTCTTGATCTCTCCCGGCG